TATTCATGTTGGATATAAGACCTTAATTACAAATAAATGATGTTCATTTATCAGTTTGTGCAGGACAAACTGATGAAACCCTTTACGGTTACTTTGTCTCCTTTGTTAATTTGTCTCCCCTTTTGCCAGACTCACTCATGTGGTGCGCATCAGCTTGGTAAACATCCGCAAAGCTTTGAAGGGCCAGATTGTTATGTCTGCTGAACTTGAGAACGTCTTCAACAGCATGCTGGTGGGAAAGGTGCCTGTTATGTGGGCAGCCAAGTCATACCCCTCTCTCAAGCCAATGGGGAGCTACGTGACTGATCTCTTAGCCAGACTGCAGTTCCTACAAGTAAGAATCGTGATTGTTATAGCTCACACAGACCTCGAGCAACTGGCAAAATGAACAAAGCACGTACTAAGCAGTTTAAGCCCAATGGCATATACAGTTTGTTTAGTCTTAAGTTAGAGAACATGTTTCAATGTGCACAATGGATCAAATTAATTCAATTAAACAAAATTACATTCAGATTGTGGTAAAACTGTTTGTGTAGAGAATAGATTTTTTTGATATACTAATACTATGCATATGCTTGGATGTCTTTTCTTGACAGGACTGGATAGATAATGGCCCCCCTACAGTCTTCTGGGTCTCTGGATTCTATTTCACCCAGTCTTTTCTGACTGGAGTTGCTCAGAATTTTGCCAGAAAATACACCATTCCCATAGACTACATTGGCTTTGAATTTGAGGCATGTCTTTATTTTGCTCACCTTTCTCAGTGTTTTTGGTCTTATTCAGGGTGTCCGCAGGGTCTTAAAAAGTCTAAAATCCAATCATCTGAATTTTAGGCTTGTTTTAAGTGTGTTTTTGACATGATTGGCTTCATGAAGTTAATGTTATTTTGTTGTAATTTTTTATTTTTATGTGTTACTGATCCGAACAAAACAACAACATGGAACAAATACCAACTCTCTTTTATATCCTTTGTACTTTTTGCCATTATGGACATAAAATTTATCTTTAAAATTGCATTAATAATGGACCTAAAAGGGCCTTAAAAAGTCATAAATTGAACCTGTGGAAACCTGCAGAAAACTTTATATTCACCTGTAATTACTTAATAATAATATGGATGTACTGGGTGGATATTCATGCTCTGAGTTGTGTTATAGGTAACTAAAGAGGAGACCCATATGGAGGAGAAGCCAGAGGACGGGGCCTATGTTAAGGGATTTTTCATGGAGGGGGCACGCTGGGACAGAGAAAACATGGTCATTGGAGAGTCCCTCCCCAAGATCCTCTTTGACTCTTTGCCCATCATCAAGCTCAAGCCAGGAGAAATGTCCAAGTTTCTACATGAAAACATCTATGTTTGTCCTGTTTACAAAACCAGTGCCCGCAGAGGGACCTTGTCCACCACTGGCCATTCCACCAACTACGTCATGTCCATTGAGCTGCCCTCTGACAAGCCACAGAAACACTGGGTAAACCGTGGCGTGGCATGCCTCTGCCAGCTGGATGACTAAGAACTAGCATCAACTCATTTAATATACTGAGCTATTAACAAACTGCATATGCCAAAGAAGGTCTATGTGTTTGTATGCCAAAGAAAGACACATTGTCCCATAATGCCAAATAGCAACAACATCTTTGTTTCATAGTACAATGAAATCTTATAGTAACATTTTGTCTTGAAGGTAACGGTAACATATTGTGCGTGATTTATTGGGAATGGACGTTTGTTTGTTTTGTTAGAGTGTATTTGATTTCGTTAATTATCATTTACATTTGTCAGTAGAGTCCAGATTATACAGATGATTCAGTACAATTGACTCCTACAGTTTTAAACTAAACCCCCACGTTCATAATATATGCTAGCTGTGAGCTATACAGTAAATAGAAGATTCACTGTGTGCGTTTGGAGAATGTATTTACTTACTGTACTTTGTGCAACCGATTCTAGTCAAAGGACTGGTAACTGGTGGCATCGCAAAATGAAAAGAGCTTGTACTGATATGTATATTTGTACTATGATGCACTTTACAATTCTATTTTGTATTTGGTTCTTTTTGTTTCAGAATGGGTGGTGGTTTATTACAAAGATTTATTACTTGATAATAAAGTCAACATAATATCAAAACACCTGGATGATGTCAACATTTACAGTGCTCTCTTAAAGCATCTGTCCATGCTTGATGTTCATAAGAATGTTAATGTTGCTGGTGAAGACAAACACTAGATGGCAGCAAGGGCAAACCAGTATTGCACAGGGATCTTTTTTGGTATCCACACTGAGAACTGACTGTGCTCTTCACTGAGATTCAGTCTTTACAATTTGTATATAAGTAACATTAATATAAACATCTTAATTTGTACATGTGTATTAATGCAGCAAAACAGTGTAACATCTAGTGCAAGTATGGTTTATAAAAAAATACTATATACTAACAATTTAAAAAAAATCTAACACTCAAATAGCATTGTTGGGACATTTGGGTTGTCAATTGATTATCATCAGCAAGAAGGGGGGCTGCATGATGCCAAATACCTGCCTCACCATTACTGATTGAGGTCTGACTGGGAGTGTGAAAACGATTTTCTGTCCCGGCAAGCTGATTTATGACTTAATTATGAAATGCAGAGTTTCAGTACAGGATGAATTCTGTTCTCCGCTAACAGCCCATGCATTATAACATGGGATGCCACAAATCATCACTGAGCCTTTTCACGATGGACCTCATTCAGCTTCGTGAAAGAAAGGTGTTTACATTAAAAATGTCAAATCCTAGTGGTATAGTTTCATATACTCAGACGACCGATGGGGGCTTCCTGGTTAATTTCTGTATTTATGTCATTTATGTGCTTGAAGTTGTCTGCAGTCAGCACTTGTGCATTCAAATATAATTAATCTGACATCTGAATTCAGTTTGACGTAACTTCAGACTGCACCAAACACACAATAAAGGTTGGTTATAAGGCCTTTATTAGTTGCTGACTCTGGGAAAGTGGGAAAAACAATGAAATTCCACTGTATTTCTGAATTATCCCTTTAAAATAACATACATTTAGTCTACTGTATGTAATCTCCTTGTGATAACTAATGTAATATTTTTGTCCATTCACTGAGCCTCTCCTTAGACTGTTTGAAGCCCCCCTGGGGAGGCCTGCCTCCCACTTTGAAAATATCTCGTCTAGGCCCTTCAAGCCTCTTTAAGCTAATGTGTTAAATGTCCTCCAGAAAACTAGAAGATCATCTCCCTTTAATGAAAATGGCCAAACTGAACTGTGTGTGCCAAGAGGAACAAAACACGGACATGTCCTTCATGAGTGTGATAACTCGAGAGTATTTACACAGTACTGCATTATAAAAATTCTACTTTAGTTTTCTGTGCAAGGACAGGTTTTATTGCAATCATTACATTATGTTAATGCTGAGCTGATAATGAAATGGAAGAACCTCCTGTCTTTACAGATAAGGTTCCTCTAAATGATTAACTCTGTACTGTCTTTTATTATGGGGGATTACACTGAAAATAGAGGAAACCTTCATCACATAAATCATTCCCCATGTTGGTTGTGCGTCAATGAATGTTGAACTGACCTTGATTTGTAGTATTGCATTGTATTGGTATAACTGTGTCAACAAGCAAAGTCATTTCAGCTATTCAGAGCATGTTGTTTGTCTTGCAGAGTCACAGAAGCATCACCACTCTACCTAGGACCTGGATCCACATTTCTGTCTGTGTACCAGTAATTACATTCCACGCAGAAAAAAAGTATACTCATTCATTTTATTTGGCATTTACCCTTGAGGATGGCATCTTGGCATCCATCCCTGAGCAATGAATCACAAATGGTGCCCCCAAATCCTTGAGTAAACTCCATGACCTTGATTTCAATTCAATTTTAGAAAGACAGTTGATGGCGCGTTGTCCTGTGGGTTAAGTTATGTAAGGGGCTGTCTCAAAAGTGCACACCACAAAAGAATACTAATTTGAGTGCAAGTCTAAATTTCCAAAATATCCGACAATAGCTTATTTTAAGGATGACTTATGCTATTCATTAAATCTATCAACACAATAATAAGAATAATATATTGTTGCCAGATGAAACACAAAATATTATCACACAGAAATACATTCAGCTACTTGAAAAGCAGTAACACTTTCTAATAACCACTAATGACTTCATAAAGTTAATTACAACTTATATTATCATATTATATAAGTTAATTAACTGTATTTACAAATGTTTATTAAGCTTAATTATTAATGAATTTATCAGCAAGTCTGCAGTAATAAATGTTAATAAGTAATTAATAAAGCATTTGAATACGACAACAAATGTAAGTAAATCATTATTAAAGGATTTTAATGATCAAATCTTAAGTTATAAATGTTAATAATTATATACAAAAAGGTTTTCATCATTAAGTCTGCTGCTACACATGTTTGTAGTTCTTTTACGGTTTTAAATAGGAAGTTATGCATATTAACAGGTCATTAACAAATGATTTTAATTATCAAGTGGGCAGTTGTTTGAGTTTTTAATAATTACATTTTGGTCAAGATAGTCTAAAGGTCTTCTCTAGAAACAAACGACCCAACCTGTCAGAGGGACTTCACAACCTGGCAACCCAAAAGTTGTTCATCATATGAATGGGTTATAACGGATCCATTGAGCATTAGCAACTGATTTATTACCCATTAATAGAAAGTAGTACAAAAAAACAAACAAAAACAAAAAAAATCACCACCCACCCATTTCATTTAACACACTGGTGACAGATGAGGACTTTATTAGCCTGCTGCATAAACCCAGCGGCTGGATGATGAAGGTTGGAGGGAGGCACAGAGAAGAAGGAGCAGCACGTCAAAAACAAAAAGCATATTTATGGTTCATACAGTTGTGAAGCGGATTCAGCTTTAGGGGGTGGCGGCGACAGACAAGCTCCTTTGTAGCATCTTCATTTCCTGAACGAAAGCGCACACCCAGCTGTCGCCGAGATGTGATGAGTATTGGCGGCGGAGGGCTGGAAGGTGTGTCGGTCACTGCTGTCGCTCAGCTGTCAACCCCCCCCCCTCCTCCTCCTCAGTGTGTGTGTGAGAGAGAGGAGACGGCGAGAGAGAGAGAGAGAGAGAGAGAGAGAGAGAGAGAAGTTTCCTCTGGTCTAAGCGCACGGTCGTTGATCGTTCACTTCGATGGCACGTCCGTATCCGTGTGCAGCGCTGCTGGGTTTGGAGCCTCGCCGCTTTCAACAGATCTGAGGAATCACAGCAATCGTGTCACCATCCATGGCTGAATTTGGAGGGAACAAGAGCGCCGTCGGACCACCGGTTGCTGGCCGGAAAGCTGCGTCAGGAGGAGCCGGAATGAGTCTGGAGACGCACCGGGGAGAGCCGGTGTCAAACGGAAACTGCAGCGTGTCAGACACCGTGAAGAGGGTCCAGAACGAATCCAGCTGCGAGTCCCCGACGTGGGAAGGCACAGGTTCAGATTCAGCCTGCAAACCAATCCCTCGACGCAGCAGTCTGATCAAGGTAGGCCATCCATTAAGAGACAGCGTTTCATTTTAATTTGAAATGTAAGAGGAAATACTGCATGCAAACTGTTGCTGTGAGGATTTTATAAGGGGTGACAAAGTAGTATATGGTTACTTAACACTTGAATTGCACACAAACACTACAAGCCCCTGCAAGAATGTTATGATGATGCCATGGAACATAAATAAAAATACAATAAAGTCACTATAAAATCACTACTCAGTCATGCATATAGATGACTTAACACACACACACACACCTCTCCCCAACACTGCTGGATGTAATCAACCTGCCAGCCTGAAATTAAACAGTTAATACACTGGGACTCTGCTTCCTGTCAGCTCTCTCTCCATCTGTGTGCCATAGCAGAATAATCACCTCATCTCATCTCACGTGTCAGCGCTGTTGAGGAAATTTAGGCTGATGAGCAGAAGTGTTTTGGTTCTTTGAGGGACACACCAGGCCATGCCCATGTCACATTTAGGATACGTTTAAATGCCGCCTGTCACACATTTAGACCATAAGCCTTGCCTAAGCATGCACACATGACTAACACCAGTATAAAAACACTTAATCATATGTGTCATGTAGCGCTGACATGTAGAGGCATAGGTTTTGTTCTAGCCACAGCCTGTGTCACTTATTAGCACTCCGTCAGCTATTTGGAGGAGGAACTAATAAGTGAAATCACCTGCTGTGGTCTTTGATTAGAATGAAAAATTACATTCGCTCCACCCTCTGTGGCTCACACTTGAATAGCCCTGTCCAATTATCCCACTGCCTACACTGATCTCATCTCACACGTAAATGAAAATGTCAGCTTTACTGTATGTGTATAAAGCATTTGACACACTTAACGATTCGTGTTGGTTTTTGACTCACAGGGCATTTAAAGTTTTGTCATATCAATAACATCTAATCAATAACTCATCCCCCGACTTTTCCTTTTATGGTTTCGGCCTGCGGGCATGTGGGAGGTCTCATATCGATCTCTAGTCGCTGCTTGTCTCTGGAGCTGCTGCCTGCAAAGACATGATTATTCGAACACGGCTTCAGATCTGTGTCTGATTGGCTCCCAGTCAGCAAGACAGGAAGCTGGCCAGTTGGCCAATTTCCTCGCATAGTTCATGTTGCAATATTGCTATTAAGTCATGAGCAGTTGGTGAGGACATGTCCCTTTCTCTCTCACTGGAACACACACACAAATATTTCTCACCTCCTTGCCCACACACAGGCCTGGTCTTGTCTTTCTTCTGTTAGTTTTAAAAGTGCAGCCAGCCTGACAGAGGATTTAAAAACACTCTGTTTACTTCAGTGAGGGTCTGGCGTCTCATGCTGGGTCAGAAATGGCGTTAAATAACTCCTGGCTCTGTGTGTCGCCTGATATCCACCCCCGTGTTTGATGAGTGGTGTTAAAATAACTCCAGAACATCACCTCCACCCTGGGCATTGCACATCCCGTGTGTTTGTATGTTGGGTGGGCATATTTAATGGTGGGAACGTTCATTGATCAACGAACCGTATACTAGCACAGCAGTGCTCATACGTTTGTGCTTTCACAGTAAACATGCTTGGGTTTTGAATCACAAACACCCGAGGCATCAGATAGATGGAGCACTGTCGAGGAGCTGAGGAGTTATGAATCCACCTGCCAACACAACAGTGTGTATTTATCTTTGCAACCCTTATAGCTAAACTCAGGATTCCACACAATTGGAGTCTGGATGGTATGTAGGCAGATAAACAGGAAACACGACATACCAGACTGGTTTTAACAGGAGTCAAGGGATTTATGTCTAACGTTTGTGTGTGTGTGCGTGTGTGTGTGTGCTCCTGTTCTCTTTAGGTGAGGTAATGAGAGTGCCTTTAATTGTATTTCATCAGTATGTACTCCGTGCTGTCCTCTGTCCTCCCATTTATTCCGTCTCGCTCTGCTGTGTGTGCGTGAAGGAGATTCATAATCAGGTGCTCACTCGGTTTGTGTCTGTTTCAAGTTCTTCTTATGTAGATAACCATCAGGTACTCTCTTTAATCTTCTTCATCTCTCTCTTTAGTTTCAAACACACACACACACACACACACACACACATTCAGTCACGCACATGCACAGACCTGCCTGTAGCTAAACACAGCTAGGCACAACAAATATCTGCTTTCCAGTTTGCTCAGGCCAACATCAGAGACTCAGAAATACATGGTTGATATATTTATTATCTCCAAAATCCTTTCAAAAGCTTTTCATTAACCAAGAAAAACAATGCATTTTTTATATAATCTTGTGGGTTTTAAAGGGATATATATGCTGAAATTTGCCTTAACTCTTAAAAGATTTGTTTTGGGATATTTGTTTTCCTGCTGAGAGTTACATGAGACGGTCAATAACACATTCAATACGAGCCTGGAGCCAGGAGATAGTTAGCTTAGCTTAGCATAAAGAAACAACTTGCCTGGCTCGACAAAAATCGACCTGCCAGCACCTTTTAAGCTCACCAATTAATACAATATATTTTGTTTGTTTAATTTTTTTTTTTTTTTTACAAAACCAGATATGTAGAGAGACACAAGCAAGCTGTGTACCCCTGTTTCCAGTCATTATGCTAAGCTAAGCTAAGCTAACTTGCTCCTCCTACTCCTTGCTCCAGCATCATGTCTAATGGACAGATAAGAGAGTGGTATCAATCTTCTCCTCTAACTCTCAGTAGAAAAAAACAAATAAGCATATTTTAGTTTATTTATGCACTTTAGATGTCTTTATGTATGTTTTCAGACAGAGGGAGCAGCATTAGCCAGAGGTGTTAGCACACAGCTGTGGAGGGCAGTTGTTTGAGTCAGAGCAGCCCTGAGCACCTCCTGCTGTTCAAATCAACATTTTTTTTTAGCCTGCATAAGCATGGCCCTGTACAGCACAGGGAGTGCATAAAACTTCACACTGATTGTGATGGAGCCACTGGAGGGACTACTTTACTGAGCTACTCTGGTGATTGAGTCTCTCCACACATACACTCCACATTCATAACTGTACATCCGGCCATGCATGTGCAGAGCTGTAAAGTTGTGTGTGTGTGTGTGTGTGTGTGTGGATGTCTGAATTGCCTGTTGGGGAGCCTTACTGAAGTCATCATCACTGAGGAGTGTGAAAAACCCTCCTAAGTTGATCGCTAAGTTGCTGCCTGTCTCAGGGCTCCAGCCACCTGTGCTTGGGTTTGGTGGTCCTTCCATCTTTAGAAGATGTGTGACGTTTGTCAGCTGAAATTGTGGTTAGCTCTCTGACAAGATGACCTTTTTCAAGTCCGCCTTTTAACTTGTTTCATTTTGTGTGTGTATGTGTGCTTAAGCGCAAATGGAACTTCAAAGGTTTGAAGCGTAAAAGAGCATCTGCTCTACTTGCCACAAGGACAGGGGTCTATATTCTGCCACACCGAGACACTGACAGTATGACTTGACCACATAGTGCTTTGTTTGCTCTATTTAACCTGTCCTGTCTTCTATAGAAGTCCCATACATGTACAACCTCCACCCAACACACACAAAGAAACAGAACGTGTTATTATCACACACTTTCTGATTTGAAGCAATAATGCTTGAAAATGAGAGGTTTGGTGATCACTTAGTATGACAGCTATTTTTAGATTAATTGATTAATTGTTTAGTATTTGATCTGAGCATGAAATACACAAACATTTTCATATAGGCTACAGTCATCTAGAAAAAGACAAAAGCAGCAAATCCTTACATTTGAGAATGAATAAATGCCTTACATTTTTACTGACCTCACTAGTCTGTTCAGCTTTGTCCAACAATTTTTTACCTCGATGGACCTAGATCTATGGATAGATTCACCATTTCGCTGATTTAACAAAATAATGGAACACATAAAGGTAAAGAACAGCATTACATGAGGCAGAATGGCCCGCATTATTTTCACAAATGTGCACCAAAGAAGAAAAGATGCTGTGTATGAGTTGTCATCCATTATTCTAGTTAGTATGTAGCCTTATTAACCCACATTTAGATGAGTTTCATCAGTGAGAGTTAACTGGTACATAGCATGAAGTATCAATATTGTTGCTATGGTTACCTGCAGTGTAATAACCCATACCATGTGCAGTGATTCTCATATATAATTTTTAATGGGCAGCCAATCAGAATCAAGTACTTTCTGTAGCCATGGTAAAATGTGATTATAAGAACTACCCAGACATGCTGGTGTCTGCTGGTGTTTGGGTATTCAACTTAAATAATGCCTCTCAAACACACATAGTTGTGAATTTAGAAGCCCAACTGTGTGTTTTTTTCCTGCTGATTCTATATTACATATTAAATCCTGATAGGAGTGTGCCTTACTTTCTTTCTGAAGGCCTTTTTTGCACTTTCCATACATCATCTCACGATTCCCAGTAAATCACCTCCTAGCCCCCCTCCTGGTGATGTTGTGCTCCTAGGATGAGAGGCACTGAAATAAACCATGTCATTAATCATCCATCATCTGCCGTCAAACACTCAAGGCCACAGGAAAGACAGTTCAGCCTCCTCACCAATTTTCACTCTTCTATTCTTTATTTTGTCTCATCTAACAACCATCTCTCTCTCTCTCTCTCTCTCTCTCTCTCTCTCTCTGATTTTCTATCTGTCTTAATTAGTGGATCAAAAATGACGCCCACTAATGACCTACATCTTCATTCATGCTGACTCGGAGATGTTGTCGTAATTACTGTTAAGGGCTTGTTGCATCCATATAAACTCTCATACATTGCACCATGCATTCATATAAGCTGACTAATGAAGACACAAGGCCATACTGGCGCCTGCAGGCAAATACAAAGTACAGAAGCTCTGTGACTGTACGCATAAAGATAGACAGTAATCCGTCAAAGTCCTCCTTTATTTATTTCTCCTTCCTCTGTCTTTCTCTGATAACTGCATCTAATCTATTCTGTCAGACAGTTTCCCCAATTTCTCTCACCCTTCATCAATCCCGACATCTGTATTTCTGTTTAAAAAGTTTGGTGTCAAAATGCGAAAGGCCCTAACTAAAGCCAGTGTTTGGTTTGTCCCTTCTGGGCTAGAAACATGGTGGTTCAACATGATGGACTTTTAGGTGATTACATACCTATAAACATACCTAGGAATATTATATTCCATATCTGCCATATACTGCAAATAGATTCCCCCTCTGAATAATCTCCTCTATCTGTAGATGTATGTTGGTCTGCATGTATTTAACAGGTTGTATTAATAATGTATAAACATTTTTTTTTCTCTACATGGCTACTTTGAAAATTAGGTAATAATGTCTTTCTTTCTTTCTTTCTTTCTTTCTTACTTTCTCTGTGTTGTCACTTCACTCGGCTCTCAGTGGAGCCACAGGAAGCTCTCTGTGACTGGCTGACAGCCGGCTTCCTGTTTTGAAGCGCAGTTGGTGGTTTTGGAGACTCATCTTGCTCTCTGTGAGAAAAACAAAATAGGGCCTTTGTGACGGAAACATACAGTACATTCTATCAGAGATTAAGTAAAATGGAATTTTATCAGGGGGATGGAGGCTGAACTTACTGTGTGTGTCTGTGTGTGTGTGTACTCTAATCTGGTTCAACAGTGTGTGCTTTTTTCTTTTAGAAAATTAAATAGATCTACCTTTTGTATTTTATTCAGGTGTTTATCTACTTGTGGGTTCATGTGTGCCCTCTAGTTTTATCTTGTCAGGATAATTTATTCAGAGTATACAGTGACATCAGTGTTGTTTTGGTTGTGTGTTTGAACTCTTGTCTCCCTCTCTGTCAGTTATTTATGTTGGAGGCTTACAGAGGTGAGTGTGGAGGACAGCCTCCACACATAAGATAATTGAATCCCAATTGTTGGACAGGCCACTTGGAAAATCCTGGTGTTCCCCTGCTTCAAACAGCTTGCGTTAGGGACACACCATATAAGGTTTATTAGATTTCAAGGGAACGTATCCATTGCTTCAGTATGGTTTCTGTCCTTTGCTTGTCGGTTAATCAGGGATGACGTGTGTGTTTGTGGTCACATGGTGCATGAAGGTCTGTAGAGACCATGTTATTTATGTGGAGTATCCTAACTGGGTAAGGTGTGCACAGCGATTGGTCCTGATACAGCCACACAGTGGCCATTACTGCTAATGTCACAGAGAGATAGATAGATAGATAGATAAATCTCTGGTACCTGTCACTGAACTGCATGAAAGGAAAGAGAGGGTGTGACTGATGGGGTGGTACTGCACGCTTCTGTGTGGAGGTGCATGAGTCTTGTGAGTAAAGCCAATAAGTGTTGGCTTTGCACCTCATTCTGCGTCACTGGAATTTCCCATGAGCTTTCAGGAAACATTTCAAACGCAGTGCTGTTTTTCAAAATATATTATTTTTAATCTTCTCCTGTTTTCCCCCCTGCTGGTGGGGTGGAGTTGAGCCTTCCTATCTGAGGTAGAGTTAAATTTAGAGGTGATGCTGAATCACTCCAAAAGGGGAAGCTTTTTAATGAGAACACAGAATCAATTACCTCAATTACAAGCCAGTGGTTCTTTTTGTTAACGGATCACTGGCCACCGGAAATCTTTTTTAGAAGCTAAAATTGGGGATGTCGGAGGTCTTCCTTTTGCTTTCCTGCAGTAAGATTGGAAGGGGGGTCTTTAAGGAAAGGCTTACTATCTCTCTGTCCACACCCCCTTTCACTCTATCATGCCCCAAGGCAACAGGGGTATTTTTAGAGCACCATCTCCCTCCCTCCCTCACCACGGCAACTCAAAAAAGAACTTGTCGCCATTGGAAACACTTCTCCATCCTAATTAGGCAATTCTATGAGGATTTGTGATGGTTAGATGTCCTCTCTTCTCTCTGACGTGAGGGAAACCTTTTCATCCTCATCCTGAATTATGCTTCCCCTCTTTCACATGTTCATTCATATTCTTTAAATGAAACACTGCTCAGGTCTTTTTTTCTCTTTCTTTCTCTTATCTCTTTTTGATTTTCACCCAGATTTCCTTCAATGAAGGGTTCCCTCCTCTCTTCTCTCATAAAAGATGCAAGTGCTCTTGAGGTTCATATGAACTCTTATTTGAATGAAATCACAGGTATGCTGATGAGTGTATTAATCAGCCTCTGATCAGTAGTCACAGATGTTCATTATTAATATGAAAATCAGCCTACTGGTGATTAATTGTACTTCTTAAATACTCCAAAACAAATATTTACATAACACTCATAAAGAAATATGAACTTTATGTATTTGTTAGCCACAGAGCAACAGGCTGCAGGATTTGATCTTCCATTGATAAAACGTTATGCACTTACTGTAATTTTCTAAATTTTTATTTACTATTTCAGAATTTTCTGAAACAAACTATTTATTGCTTAGTCAAGAAAATAATTTAAAGAAGTTATTTCCCCTTTTTTACTGTTATATTTCACTTCCTTGCTTGTTACATATAAAGAATGTAAGACAGTAGTATGTTGAGTATGTGGATGTTTGTGTCTTCATCCACTCACTTAGGATTGAATCAACTACAATTAAGTTCTCCTACTTATCCTGCTTTAGATTAACTTCAATTAAGTTTTGATTTGATTTTATCAGGACTCTAATATATCCATAATTGAATAAGTCCGCCCACATATATGCTTTTATCTGTTAGTGTAAGGTTCTCTGTGGGGGTGACATCTGATGGGTCAATAAATCAGATGAATGAGCTGTGATGGTGGGCTCAGATAAACTAATTGGGTCTGCCAGTGTCGTTGCAGAGGGGCAGAATTAGAATGCTGCAGCCTGCTGCCTCTGTCTAGTCAGGTATGATTAATGGTGTAATGGTGAAGGGCAAGGGCAAGCAAAGGCTTTTAGCATTAGGAAAAACAATAACAGATTAGAAGGAGGAGGTCTTCATGTGATAGACCAAATAATCTGTGTTTATGTATGGTTATATAAGCTGATATGCCCTTAAATCCTTTGAGATCTATCCGGGATGGGAGAATGTTTGTCATGCCCTAGCGAAGCATATACTATTCAGAAGGATCACTGTCTGTCTTTCACTCTCTCTTTTAACTAATTTTTCCTCTTATTATACCCCCTCCCTCCTCCTCTCTTTATCTGCGCCGTCCTTTGATCCTTCCTTCCCTCCCTCCTCGTCAGGATGGGTCACGTGCTGGTCGGGAAAGGAAGAAGACCGTGTCCTTCAGCAGCAGCCTGTCAGAGAAGAAGATCAGCAGTGCTGCAGACTGTATCCACTCCATGGTGGGTCAGTTACAGTGTGACCCTTCACATGAAATATAACTTTTGCATACCTTTACATTAAATATTTAATGTGCAATGCATGCATCAAGGGTTTCTGTTAGATCACAGGCTTCTGAGCCTGTCAAATGCTCAATGGAGCTTGTTCAGAAGTGAAATGGAGTGAGCTCTGCACTGAAAGTCAGTGGGTGAAAACTTCATCCATATCTTGCTTCCAGGTTGAGGGGAGTGAACTGAAAAAAATCCGAACAAACTCACGTGTTTACCAGCGTTACTACCTGCTGGACACAGGCCTCCAGGCTTTATGCTGGGAGCCATCCAAGAAGGAGTCAGACAAAGCCCGGATCTCTCTCGCCTCCATACGAGAGGTCAGTGTTCAGAGCTTTCTTATCAACCCTTTATGAGTTACCCCATTGATTACTTAAGACTAGGGCAGTGGAAATATTTACAACCCTGAAACATATGGAAGACGACAGTTGACTTGTTTTTATTGTATCTGATTCTCACATCTCTTGTGGTTGTAGGTACGGACAGGTCGTAACACAGAAACCTTCCGCACCAGTGGAGTTTATGAGCAGATTTCAGAGGACTGTGCATTCTCCATCATCTATGGAGAGATATATGAAAGCTTGGACCTGGTGGCCAACTCTTCTGAAGTAGCTAACATTTGGGTTACTGGCTTAAGGTATGCTACGACAAAGAACCGGGAGTGGAACTATACACCTGTAAATTGTAATATGTACCATAAAGACACCACACACATTTTAGGTAAACATTTCAGAGCTGCTTCTTAGCAGTACACTAGAGCAGTAATGGAAGTGCGATGAAATTATATGGCTAACCCTTAGTATTCAGGCATTTCCTTTTCTGTTTTATAAATCATTATATATACTTATAGTATTTCAAGCTATTGTTGTTTTGGTGATTTAATCGGAAGGACTAGTTAAACCATAAATTAAAATTGTGTTTTTGGTAATACTGTCTCTTGCACATAACACCTAATGTCAACAGAAAGACTTTGGAAAGGTATCATGGTGGCAACTATTTAACCTTTATTATGATTGGCCAACGCAGCACGTTATTGGATGATGTCCGCTAAATACTTCATATGAAAATAAAATGTTTGTGATGCAGTATTGAAGGAAAAATATTCTGTCCTATCGGATCGGTCTTGTCCATTCTTCTCTCATCTTCCTCCAGGTATCTGATGCAGTATGGGAAACATGCCCTCGACATGCTCGCCAGCAGTCAGGACAGCCTACGTCTTGTCTGGCTGGAGCAGCTATTCTCCTCTGCTGCTGATTTGGACAGACAGGAAGGCATGGAAGAAGGGATCCACTTGCAGTCAGCCATTAAGTTGATACAGACTGTGAACCCTGGGGTGAGCAGCGGCAAAGTGGAGCACAGGTTTAAAGAGCTTCAAAGAGTTCGGGAGAGGATGTGTGGCTTTACTCTAGACAATGGATCTGGAGTTAAAGATAACAGCGAAAACAAAAGACTAATAGAAAGAAATGAGCTAGTCACCAAGCAGGAGTTCATTGAGGTCTTCCATGACTTTTGCACACGCCCGGAGATCTACTTTCTTTTGGTGCAGTTCTCTAGCAACAAGGAGTTCCTGGACACCAAAGACCTGATGAGGTTCCTCGAGGCTGAGCAGGGCATGGCTCAAGTGGGTAACACAAATAAAGCATACATACAAATAGCAGAAAACAAGTCATGCGTACATTCACATTGGCAATCCCAGCCTTTCTGTTGTATGTCATTACACCCCTGTCCAATTTCTTCTTTCTTTTAACTGTGTCCTCCAGGTGAGTGAGGAAACCAGCCTGAAGCTCATCCAGTCCCATGAGCCATCGGAGGAAGGCCAGCAGCAGGGATACCTGTCACTGGATGGCTTTACCAGCTACCTCACTTCGGTAGAGTGCCACCTTTTTGACAGGGAGCATGATACCGTGTTCCAGGACATGTCCCAGCCTTTGTCTCACTACTACATCAACTCCTCCCACAACACCTACCTCATTGAGGACCAGTTTCGAGGTCCGTCTGACATCTCCGGCTACATCCGTGCCCTCAAGATGGGTTGTCGATGCGTGGAGGTGGATGTTTGGGATGGCCCTGATGAGGAGCCAGTGGTATGTACTGGACACACCCTCTCCCCACCACTGGCCCTGCGTTGTGTGTTAGAAGCAATTGGAAAGTTTGCATTTGTGGCATCGGAGTATCCATTGATCATATGTATTGAGAACCACTGTTCACATCGACAACAGAAAGTGATGTGGCAACATCTCGTGAGGATAATAGGGAAGAAGTTATATACAGGTTCCCCAGACGAAGGGGAATCATACCTACCATCGCCCCATGACCTAAGGCATCGAATTCTACTAAAGGGTAAAAAGTTGGGTCCAGGTTCTGATGGTGAGGACGGAGAGGTAAGTGAGGAGGATGAAGGGGCAGAGATGTGTCAAAGGATGAAAGCAGCTAACAGTGGAGGGGCAACACCTGGAGGAAATGAGGACATGGTGCAGAAAAGTGTCTCTTTCACAGCTGTCCCTCAGTCTAATCCTCTTCATATTCCTCCCAAACGTTTCCAACTCTTGAAGGAGCTCTCTGACCTAGTAACTCTTTGCTGCTCAATCCGCTTCATTGACTTTACAACATCGTCCGAAAGCCAAGAACCTTGGGAAATGTGTTCCTTTCACGAATCCCTGGCTGTGCGTCTTGCTGGCGAGAGCCCTGGCGACTTTGTCAATCACAACAAGCATTTCCTGTCACGGGTGTACCCAAGCCCCATGCGTATTGACTCAAGCAACATGAACCCTCAGGACCTGTGGAAGTGCGGATGCCAGATTGTGTCTATGAATTTTCAGACAGCAGGACTGATGATGGACCTGAACACTGCCTGGTTCCGGCAGAATGGGAACTGTGGTTATGTCCTGCGGCCAGCCATCATGCGGCAGGAGGTGTCTTATTTCAGTGCTGACACCAGAGACACAGTGCCTGGTGTGTCTCCACAGCTGCTCCATGTGAAGGTATGGTGGAATAATGCATACACCACAAAATGTGTGCCCCGCAATGGACACAAGCATAGTTTCTTTTGAAACTTAAAGAATAATTCCAGTTTATTTGAATTTGGCTCCTAATTTGTAGTTTTGGCCACAAACCATCAGGTTGGCCATGCTTATTTAAAAGAGACAACCATGGTTAAACTACATTTTGATTGTGCTTGCTTTCAGTTTTACCTCTACATGAAGTTGTTTATATAATTTGGTTTAACTGATGGTATGTTAACAACCTGTCTGACCAGTTTACGTCTAATCTATTATCCTGTGGAGTTGTCACGCATTTCCTAGATCTCAGCAACTATTTGGATGAACTACAAAACTTAGAACGATGATGCATTTAACTGAATTAATCCTCTAAACTCTTTTTATTATTATTATTGTTAAGATTATTTTCTGAAAACCAACAATTAATGAATAACAGCTTTTATGTTGATCCATCTCCCAGGTTATAAGTGGCCAGAACCTGCCCAAGCCGAGGGGTGCGGGTGCCAAAGGAGACGTGGTGGACCCCTACGTGTATGTTGAGATCCATGGCATCCCAGCTGATTGCACAGAGCGCCGAACCAGGACTGTGACCCAGAATGGGGACAACCCCATCTTCGATGAGAGCTTTGAGTTCCAGATCAACCTACCGGAGCTTGCCATGGTTCGCTTTGTGGTGCTGGATGACGACTTCATCGGCGATGAGTTCATAGGTTGGTGTCAGGGTCCGAGGTCAGAAGGGTTACAGTAAATGGACTCAAACACAGCAATTTTATAGTGCAGGGTCAAACAAGAAATGCTTTAAATGGAATCTGATCTCTTTACTACCACAGGTCAGTATACCATCCCTCTGGAGTGTCTTCAACCGGGCTACCGACACGTACCACTCCAGTCTCTGACAGGGGAGGAACTTCCCCATGCCAAGCTGTTTGTCCATGTGGCCCTCACCAATCGGAGAGGAGGGGGAAAGCCTCACAAAAGGGGTCTGTCTGTGCGGAAGGCCCGCAAGGGGAGGAACTACCCAGCTCTGAGGGACTTAGGGGTCCGGGCTGTGGATGATGTTTTCAAGATGGCTGCTCCTCTGCTGAGGGAAGCCACTGACCTGAGAGAAAACATGCAGGTGAGGACTGAATATTTAGCTTGTCAGCTCTTCACTTCAGACCAATGAGTCAGAATTGTTAACTGGGATAATTGGCATTGTGTTTATAATACACACACTCCTGTTTTTATAACTGTTGAACAATCCATAATTATAATTGTAAAACTATTAGTGAATCAGCTGATTACTAGTTGACCAACAGGTAATTCATTATATTTAAGTCATTTATCAGTAATGATTGTCTATAAAACAACTAACAGAATGAAACAAAAGACTGGCACTCGTTACAATTTTTCTGCAATTGCTGATCTAACCTTTATGAGCCAGGCAGCAATTTGGTCTGTGGATGCTTGTGTCACCCTGGGGCAATAAAACAGTAATTATACGTTCAGTCAGCGTGGTGAGACTGTTGGCATCCACATCTTTTGATTTATTCCATTTCAACCTGAACTCCCACTACAGCACAGCTGCAGGAGAGAACTGCAGGAGAGCAAATCAATAGTCGAAGGAGTGTTGCAGGAGTGGCTTTTGATTACGTGTGTATGTGTGTGTATGTGAGCATATGTGGGTGAGAGAGAGTGAAAGCAAATCAAGCGGGAGATAGCGTGCAGAAGGAATTGGACAGTTTATTTAATTTTTACATTGTTCTCCTTACTGTTTTTACATTAGGGCCAGGAAAAAAGAGAGATTGTGAAAGACTTTATATGTGTTTGTGTTTAAATTTGCAGATGTCCTCTTCTTTTTTCCAACAGAACTCAGTAGCAGTGTTCAGGGAACTGTGTGGGGTGTCTGTGGTGGCTAACCTCATGCAGTGCGTACTAGCTTTGGGCTCCAGGGTGTCAGGACCAGACGGGGCTCCTTTACTACTGTTTGACCTCCGGGACCACTACCCCACCCTGGAGCCTCAGGGGCCCCTGCCAGACGTCCTTCGCCGGGTCGTCTCCACTTATGAAATGGTGAGGAAGGAAGACATTTGACAGTTAATATGCCTATTGCTGTTCAGAACATAAAGAAGTATTCAGGCTTACATCTCTGAAATATAATAAAAGGAAGGAAAGACCAAACAAAAGCTCACAAGCTCACAAATCAGCCATCTCCTGTCTACCTGACCTAACAATGAAAATCCCCTTCCAGACAAAAGCTACCTTTTTCCCCAATATGTTCTCAAGCAGCAAGTGAGCTCTCATTGTTATGTAGCAGACAACATTTCCATTTGTTGTGGCTGTAACAAGGCTCGTAAACACATCCGCGACATCCTCACCTTGGCCTGAATCCAGTCCCACCCAAATTAACTGCAGACGTTCACTGACCAAGGAGAAAGTTATTTAACCGACTTTAACTTATGTAATGTTGTCCATAAATAAATCCGGCCGTCGAGAAAAACTCCCCCGTGGAATTAAATACAAAGAGAGAAAGAGTGAGAGAGAAAAAAGGGGGCAGAGCGGCCAATTGGTTTGTTAGTCAACTCATCAACTACTCAATGAGGCGGGATAAATCAGTTTGTTTGAGTGGGCTCAGGATGCTCGGATGGTGGCTTAACTGCGAGGATGCAATGTCAGGCTTTCCTTCTGTCCTCACTTTCAACATATTTATTTCCCTTTGGTTTCTATCTCCGTCTTACAGCCTCCCCCCCATCCCTCCTTCATTTCTCTCAGTTTCCGCCTCCTCTTTTTCCCTCTGGGTCTGGTTGGACTGTGGCTGGCCACCATAAGTAGTTTCCATACAGCTGTGGTCCAGCACTTGGTGGAGTGGTAGCCTGTCTTGCTATGTTTAAGTGTTGCTATGGTAAATGACATTACACCCCTTTTTTGCCATCTGTCTGGCTGCTTCAATACTTTTTAAATTGATATTTGCTCAAAGTGCACTTCTTCATGTTTCATATTACATATTCCCCAGGAGTCTCTTGGGTAGAATGATGGACAGTCAGTATGAATTGCCAATTTAGAAATACCGTGCATGCAGCAAGCAAATGTGTGTGAGTGTATGTGCATTATGAGTGAGGGAGGGAAACACTCTAAAACAGGCTGTAGTGGAGATAAATGGAATCAGTTTCTAGTCTTATTAAGTTATGATGAAGGTTTTGGTGTATGAAGCTTGACACTTTAATTTAACTACGGTTGTTTGTCACTGCTATGCATTTAGCAACTGCATGAACCTGTGACTGTTTTTGTCTGCATCGGTGTGTAAATAAGAATGTGCATGTGTGCCTGTGTGTGTGTGTAGGTTTAGCCATTTCCGTTTCCAGCCAAGCAGATCAGAGTTGAATACCATTAGCATAGATTTGAATATTGTTCGGCTAAATGGATTCCACACCTCAATCCTGAAGCCTGAAAGCAGTGGCAAACAGCAGGGACAGGAAATGGGGATGTTTGTGTGTGTGTGTCTTGTTGAATTGGATAGTGTACTGTAGTTAATCCCTTATTTGTTGAACAGCATTTTTTTTCTCCACAGCAGGGTCACGTCCCAGCAGGGTTTGTGAGAAGAGGTGCAGAATTAATCAGGCAGAAGCTACTCATGTCATTCCTTTTTGTGTGTGTGTGTGTGTGTGTGTGTGTGTGGTCATTACTTTAAAAGAGATGTCACATTAGTCTCTGTGGGTGCCTTCACACGCATGCATATGTGTATATGTATGTGTCTACTGTGCATTTGGTGGTAAAACCTCATCTCCGATTGGCTATTTCCATAATTTTAACAACCACCAACATTATGCAAAACATCACAACAGTGTTTTATTTAATTGTGAATATTAACCTGACTTAACGTGCGGAACAGTGTGATTTATGCACAAAAAACAAGATGGCAAAAGAAAAATGTTAATGGTTATGGTGCACTACAGCTATGTGTGTGTTTCATGCTAATAGATGTTTCACTGTTTGCAGATGGTCCAGGCGAGCAGAGCAGTGATCGAGCTCTCTGATGGAATCTACGACCGGATCCTGCACATACAGACAATGGGTATGTAGGCGTGTGTGTCTGTGTGTGTGTGTTTTGCCTGTTGTGTGTATATGAGATGCTGCTATGTAGAGCGTGTGTTATGATGTGTGTGTAACAAATAGAAACCAGGCTATGCCCATGTTCCTAGTCCACTCATGAAAACTCCCACACAGCCTCTTCAACAGTGCTATTATCCACACTGCAGTGGCTGCTTTTGTCATTAACTTAACTCCTTTCCTCTCCTCTCTCCTTTACGCTCCTCCCCTCTCCATGTATCCCCTTTCCTTTCCCTTCCTCATATTCTCTCTCCTTTCCTCTCCTTTTATTTCTCGTCTTTTTGTATTCTCTTTCCTTTCCTTTCATTCTCTTTCTTTCTTACCTTTTCTTTCTTTCCTTTCCTTTCCTTTCCTCTCCTCTCCCACCATATTTTCTCCTGTCTTCTGCAGTCATCTGCCAAAAGCCTAACAGTGTTGCACAAGGTTAGATGAGTCTTTGAGCGGCCCAGTTCATCAGTATGTTTTGGAAAGAGGGGTTTAAATTGGCGCAGGTCCCGTCACCGATCACCCATCAGTCTCTTAAGCAAAGGGCACCTTATATGACCTGCTCATATCATTTCTGTGATCTTTGGCAGAGGTTTGTTTACTTCAGCGTGGCCCCTTGGGTCATCTGACATTAGTCAGCCAGACTGTCGTCATAGTGGTAATAAACAACCCCCGAACACACCAACACACACACTTTACCCAAACCCCTTTCCTAACCTCCATTCAGTCTTCAGCTATTGCCCAGGAGACACCATGATTGACATTTGGAAATGTTAATCAGTGACTTGTAGCAGAAAAAAACACATTTGTGTTATTTATATGATTCTCTAGGTGCTGGATTTTTTAAAAGATGCTGCTACAAAAGTCATATGTTGGACTCTTGTGGCGTATATTCATGCATCTTTGGGTTTCACAACAGTTTTGTGAGTTGAAATGATCTCAAACTTGCTTTTCAATACCACCCTTGAGTGTAAATAGAAACGAGGAAATGCAGGAGAAATTAACAAAAAAACAGAGGTGAACTGATATTTCAAGAGGAAGATGATGGGTCGACCGGGGCCAATGTGGAGAAAGAGAACGCGTTTGACGTAGATGAAGGTTGTTTACAAATGTGCAGACTGCTCCACTTTGCTCCCAGACTGCTCACCCCATCCTTCACTGAACTTTATTTGAGGTTTTCTGAGGCCACAGCTTCACTCGCTGATCAAACAATCTGAGACATATTCATGCGTTTTACAGCTTGGACTGCAGCAGAGGCCAACTGCTGCTGAGCTACTAGTCCACTATCTTTTTGAAACTTTTATTTCACGTGTGATCACTTGTAGTATTATTAGTAAATAGAGTGAGATATGAACGTGTGATAGCCCCTCGCCGTCGGCCCGGTGCCAGTACATTTATCTGATAAAGAGCTGCTGCAGAGCCCGAGGCCTGATCCCATGAACAAAGCTCTTCCTGTGTGTACAGAGTAAAGATGGTGATCAGGTGATCCCAAGGCAGAGGTCCACCTCTCGGTCTTGGAAGAGCGGCTGGGCAGCAAGAAGGCATAAAAAGGTCACTCAGAGGGAGCCTTGGGACGGCTGGTGGCAGAGATGGATGTCTGGAAGTTAGATCACAGCAGAGAGATGAAATGGAGAGGGAGAAGAAAGCCGTGGGAAGATGAATGGCAGAGATGGATAGTTAGAGGCATCGCTGAGAGGAAGACAAGAACACTGAAGGAAAAGAGAGCTAATTCACTTCAGTATTGGGATCCAAATTAAAAAAAACTCACTCACTTATTTTCTCACTTACTTTTAGTGGTATATAGTTTTGGTTATATTTGTCCAAGTTTTTAGATATCCATCTCTCTATGTCCTTTTTAAGTGAAAAACACACAAAAATGTGACTTAACACCAGGATTAAAAAAAGTGTTTTGCTGAAAGTTTCAAGTTTGTAACCACACCTAATAGTGATATCACACCCTGGAGTACACAGAGTGGAGTTCTGTCACTGCAGCACTGTTACTTTAATACCATTTTTATACCAATATTAGTGCACATATGCAGGCTTTCTATGGCCAGTAGGGTAGGTGAGTTTGCCTTTTCTGATGTGTCATGTTTGATCACAAATGTGCCACAAAACAGGATCAGTATACGTATCTTGCCACTGTTGTATCTTGCACAATACAAAAACAAAACAAAATTGCTGTGGCATGTTGTTTCCATAGACTGTAAAAAGAACAATAAATACTGTTCTGGGATATTTAAGTGCCAACGTCCACAACTTCATAGCCAGAAAAAGCTGTCCACCCACCTGCCACGTTTTCATCATTGCCAACTGTAGCAGGAGCCGATAAATACCGGCGACTACTGCAGAGTCATCAGACCAGCATTGAATGCAGATCGTCCCTTGTCCCACTAAAGAGTAGAAGTAAATGGAATGGTCAATGGACTGCACTTATATAGCGCCTTTCTAGTCTTTCAACCACTCTTACACTGCACGTCACATTCACCCATTCATACACTGATGGTGGAGGCTGCCATGCCAGGTGCCAACTGCTCATCAGAAACAGAAACTAATTCATTCATACACACACTGATGGCATAGCTTCAGGGGCAATTTGGGGTTCAGTATTTTGCACAAGTACATGTCAGGGATCGAGCCAACAAACCTCTGATTATTGGATAATCTGCTCCACCTCCTGAGCCGCAGCCACCCCTGATATCAGTGGGTGTTAGTGGATTGTTTGTGGAGAGTGTAAGGGGCTAAAGTAGCTCTTTAAAAAAAAGAAAATCACCCTTGTGTCTTTCCAAACAATGCAAACAATTACTCTGGAAAATCCACACTCATCACTCTGAAAAATCCACTCCAAAATCCATTGTTTCTTTGGTGGAAAGTAGTACTGTGGTTTATCCAGAGTAGTTTCTGGAAAGAGATAATGCTGAAAATGGGCTTGTCACTGGTTAAACTGTTTCGAAATTCATAGGAGAAACATAATGGGTGCACAAGGAGTCACTAAATGGTCTGATGAGTAAGACAATGTGAATCAAATACTGTGGCCTACACACTCACCAAATCTTAAGAAGTTGGAGCAATGTGTTAGACTGTGCCATCATCAAAGCACCAAATAAGGGAATATCTTTTGGAAGGATTCTGTTTGTTCCTCCAGTAGAGTTCAGAGACTTGTAGAGTCTATGCCAAGGAGCACTGATGCTGTTTTGGTGACTTTTATTGGTTCACTACCTCATGAAGACACTTTATGATGCGGTTTCCTTCAATTTGTTCAGTTTGTTGTGCTGTGTGTTTGTTTTTTTGTAATTTGGTTACCTGGCCATTAAGAGCCTCGATTGAGCAGCTGCTTCTCCTTCAGGGCCCTGACCTGTATGGTGGTGAGACTCACACCTTGATAAGTAACACTTCACGAGATGCTAATAAATAATAAGCCTGCTTGTTTCGACATCAGGTCACATCAGTAGGTTTTCCCTTTCCCATCACAACAGCTCACAGTTCACATAGAGGACAGGAAGTAAAGGTGACACACTTCCTGTTTTGCTGGGCCTGAAGGTTATTTTGGCCTGTGGGTCAGGACCTTGTTTCTGTGTTGTGTTTGTCTGTGTATCCACACTGTCCCAGTATTCTCTAGGAAATAATGTTCCCTCCATTGGCTTCGCTTGGTTTCACAGGGAAATAGACACACACACACACACACTACATTGGCACGTAGGCTTCGAGTTGCCTAGCAACCGCGCGGTAAAGGTTATTATTCAGGCAACTTCTGTAGGTGTGTGTGAATGTGGAGCAGTGACAACGTATGTGTGTGCAGGTGTGTGTCCATACTCGCAGACGTTTAGTGACAGAGAAGGATTATGTGTAAGTAATTGGTAAATTGTACTCTCATCCAATCTGTTTACTCTTTTCTCAGTGTGCGTGTGTGTGTGGGTCCACAGTGGCATGTTTACGTCTGGGTTCTTGTTTGATGGCTCGCAGTGATGTGTCGCCTCGTGTTAACCACTTTCCGGGTTTCCATGTAACACTGGGACAGTGCACCGGGCGGTCAGTTGGAAGCCAGACACACAACCAACTCATGTGCAACACACTTATTCTAGCGGCGGCTGACTTTATGGCGATCTTCCTCTTTCTCTCTCTGTATCTTTCCCCATCTGTCTCTCACATTTTCTATCCACTTTACATCATTCCTTTGCATTTTTTATAGTTGATTTTTTGTTCTCCTTCTTCTCTCTGATACTGACATTTGGGCTAAAATGCCAAAGTTAGAGGACTACACAGGTTTCGATTTTCTACCTGTGAATAAGGAGGGTGTATAACAATATGTATTGAGGGTAGCTATGTAGAAAGACTTAGACCACATTGTTGTGAAGCATCGTCATTAAGGCTTGTATGAAGAAAGGACAGAGTCTCCCCAGAGTCTAGACACTGGTGGTGGTGGTGGTAGTGGAGTAAAGCCTGCAGGTGGAAGATGGAAACTGTGAGACAAATGGGTCTGAGGAGTTTGTTCAGATATGGTGACATCTAAATTTGTTAATGTAATTGAAGGACAGTGTCGGAAAAGTGGAAATAGCGGAAGAAACAACAGAAATCCAGAAAGAGAAATAATATATTTTTTTCTCATTTCAGTATACACAAAACAAAGGTCTGGTTGGAATGCAAGTTTGAGTGACACTTTGTGACTTTCTGAAGCCCATTAGGACTATTTACTGTTGTGTAACGTGTAGCAATAGCTTGACTAGATCAGTGTGCTCAAAGCTTTAGGTGATGAGTGCACAGAAATCAAAATCATCCATATCCCTGGTCAGCTCGAGCTACAGTACTCACATGCTAACGTTGTATGGGCTGGAAGATCTGTAAAAAAAAAAAAGGTAAAAATCATATTGCGATATTTTTGACAGATGTTGTGATTGTGATATGAGTCGCAATCTTAGAGGAAATCATTTTTGCATTTTATTTTCACAAGACTTTCACAAGACTTTCACAAGATTTTTGTTCCCCTAAGTGCAGAATATGATTTATAGGCAGAGCATCTGTGCACCACAATGATTCATTTATAATGCTATGTTGTGACACATTTTACCTTAATAAAATGTTTTCAAATTATACCTCCTGTGATTTGGATATTGCACTTGGATATCTTTCATTATTCAGCTCTACACTGCTGTTAGGTGACAGAGCTTTATTTTAAAAAAAACAGAACCTGTCAAACCCCTAAATCTAAATTATATGTGGTCACATCCAACAATCACACACAGGGTGATATAAATATTGTGTATAATTTTGGAAGCGTGTCTGTGGGACAATGGAAGAATACTATACTACTTTTAGTTTACCTTACAACATCCACCCTAACAGCTCTGTGAGGATGTACATAGGCATATTGCTTAATGTTAATATCAGTATGCACACATAGTCGCAATTACTCTAATGTTAGTGCCACTAGAGGAAAAGTCAGGGGATTTAGCTAGTACAATTCCTCCTATGAGAACCATGAATGTCTGCACAAAATGTAATTGCAATCCATCCAATGGTGGCTGAGATATATACCCTAGAGCCATGCTTCTAGCATGGCTAAAAACATTACATATATAAATTCAGCTCTTTCTATTTTGAATGGATGAATTTAGACAAGTTGACCAATTAGCCAGTTTCCCACAGCTATTTCTTTACAGGCTGATTTTTGAAGTGCAAAGCATTGTCCTGTGGTTGTGTGTGTGTGTTTTCAATTCTAGCAATGGAGTTTCATGAGAAGCTGCAGAGCCTGGCGGCGAAGGAGGGGCTAAAAGGTCGCAAGGTCAGTCGAGCGCTGGAGAGTTTCAGCTGGAACATCACCATCCTTAAGGTCAGCGACACACACTCATACACTCAATAAAATCCAAACAGCTGTAAGGGATGACCATTAGAACATGTTTTGGCCTCTAGCTAGTTGCTCATGCTTTCACTTCTACCCACTGTCCCCATCTCTCCTTTCTCCCCTGTACTTCTCTCCTGATCTCCCCTTTTCCTTTCTCAGGGTCAGGCTGACCTACTGAAGCACGCCAAAGCTGAAGTCCAGGAGAACATGAAGCAGGTCCACGATGCCGCTTTGACTGGAAACCTCACCAAGGAGAGTGCAGGACTGAGAAGAGTCCGCTCCCAGACACGACGAGGTCAGGATGACAAACCCACCGCAAGCGCTAGAGGACCCTCTGCATAGGAAGCAAATGATCAACTAATGAGGACGCGACCAAAATTGCCATTGTAGCTGCTGTGAAAAACCCTTTTCATGTCATTAAAATGTTTCATCTTACTCTGACTTGGTGGCAGACTGACAATCCAATATGAGACCTTATAGCAGGTGCAGAGTTTTTGAGAGAGAAGAACAGAAGAGTGGGTGAATGTAAAAGTCTTCACATTGCAGCCACCTTCCACCCACCTGCTGCAGATAACCCTGGAGAGCTGGTGAAGTCAGAGCGCTGCAGAAGATAAATGACACTGGAGAGATGAATGTAGTTAGATTTAAAGCCAAGGTTCAGTTTGTACTGTATTAAACTGTAAATACAACAAGTGTCTATTAACCTCTTCTTATGTGCAATGTGTCTTGAAGAGGGAGGGAAATTTGTCATTTTTCTGGCATAGGCTGGGATGACTCAGAACTCAGCCAAAAGATGTTGAAAGCCTTTTGAAAACTTTTGAAAAACTGCCACCTCCACATGTTAAAAGCTTGTGCTTCACAAAGCCACTGTCTAGCAATATCAAATAAGGACTCAAATCAAGATTGGTTTAGGGTATGTTTAACACAATTTTATGGATTATTTAAACAGGAGATAAGCAGGAATGTGTGGATGTTTGTGTAGGTCTTTTATCTCCTGGACCAGTGCGGCCCTTAATATCGACATCCATCTTATTTCCATTGAGCATTTCGAGGTCCTGCACCGCTGCTCTTCATCCAATCACCTTTAGGTCCATTCAAGTTACCCTTTGTTGTCTCAAATACAGTATTCTATATTTTTGTATTTTCCCAAGGGCCTTGTGCTAATTAAACCACTGTTATTCACCACAAAGATCAACTCCAGACCTGTAAATGTATGCCTGTAGGGAACAAATACTGTTATGTTTAAAGTGCTTACTTTGCGTGCAAAACACTGTACAGTATTTTATTATGTAATTCTATCCTTTTGCTGTAAAGAATATTTTACATAAGTTATTGATCCTGAATGAAAACATTCCAGATATATGTTATTGGTGCAGTAGATGAAGCTCGACCTCTTCCGTTCTGTAAAAGGTTGCAGTTCATGATTACCTTCCTTCAGTCGGGATGGAAATAAACTAGTTTTGAAATCACTGATGCCTGCATGTGTGTTACTGCTTTGATTCAAGGGGCTTTCCTTTGATGTGCATTCAATCGTACTAACACATGAAGAAAGTTCTGTGTAGTGCAAATATGACGGCCGGGTGCACTCATCTACTGTGTATGGGAAACTGACCTATGGTGCTGTAATGTGCAGCGGATCAAAGCCTCTAATCAGCTTTCATTTATAGCTTTAATGCTCACTGGGGTTAAAGGATCATGGCTAAAGTAATAAAATGAATAATTATTTGTAAGTTTTACTGCATGTCTTATTCTATAGTTACTTCTACTTTGAGAAACCAATCTCACCACAGGGTCCATTTTGAGGCTGTACAGTGTAGACTTGTTTCGGAGCATTCAATGGACCTATTTTTAATGAAATGGAAATGCTATATAAAATCTATAATTCCATGACAGCTGGGCAACCTTCATATGCTGATAAAGACCATGTGATATGTTTAAAAGCTCCAGACCAACTACTAAACGTGCCTTGTTGAGAGACTGTTTTCTCAAATGCAGTTTTCAGGAGTGTAATTTTAAACTCACTACCCTTTTTTTTCCTCTAGCAGTGGCATTATCTGTGAAATAATGTAATGTACAGTGGGGACACTACTTATTGTACACATAAATACATAATAAAAGTCTTAAAAGCAAGCACAACATTCTGAAGGAGACACAATAACTTATAACAGTTTGTAGCAAGAGCGATGTAGTTTTATTGGTCTTGAGTTAATTATGCTGAATGGGCAGCTAGAGGGACATTCTTTGTGCACGCTGTTTTACATGGTTTCCACAGAACAACTCAGTTGTAAATGTGAGAAATGAAAACTGTCAATTACCACATTAAAATGTCCATGTTGGAATCAATTTAAAAACAAAGAAGGAAAAAAAGAGATGTATTCCATAATTTAATCATTTGTATCCAGGAAACTAAAGGTCTACGGGTTAAAAATATTTTCTTAAAAATTAAAAAAAAAAAAAAAAAAGCTAACAAAAAGATTAAGATCACAGAGTTAGGTTTTGTTTGGTTGAGAGAAGAATAACGGTCAGAGGCACTGGTTCCAGAGGGGGGAGAAAGCTGCCCTCAACTACTGACATGAGCACATCATCCTTCTTTCCTTTGAGTAACAGAGAAGAGAGCTTGCTCGGGGGGGGCGGCAGCGCATAGACATACAGACATATAACACAGGCAGAAGGTATGGCCAGATCTCCACATTCAGAAGAAAACACTCCGTAAGCTCTAGAGGAGAGAGTCCTCCCCTTTGAAGAAACTGCAATTTGAGGTCCAACTCTTCAGTAATCATGTAGTGACTGGGTAAGAAGTTCAATGGCGCCCTCTCTCTGTTGAGCAGGGTGCTACAATTAAATATAATGAGTGACGGGATCCAACATAATGACGAGACAGGCATTAGGTAGATTAGATAGCATACGGCATTAGCTCAGACAGGACTCAAGTGGCACAGATGACAGATAAAGAGACAGAATATAAGATGTTTGTGACTGGAAGTGTCACAGTCCACATGTGCAATTTTTGAAGCCAACAGCAGCTCTGGCAGGTGTCTACCAAATACTGCGGATTCCACCCTCTGATCCTAAGTCAGTTTCTTTTTGGATCACATCTTCTGAATGGGATATGATACAGGTATGTGAGGAGGAGAAGGAGGGCTAATTTGCGCGTTCACAGGTCGTTCGGGTTGACAATAGTAAAGTCAGAGTCCTTGCTGTGGGTGGAGCCCTCATCTGGGCTAGAAGAGCCCGAGGTGGTGCCAGCCATCAAAGGGTCATGGAAGGTCCCAGCCGCACCCTCGGGCTCCATTCGCACCAAGCCGCGTCCTCGCCTGATCGGAGGGGTGCGCTCGGCTGTAGCCCTTCCTCCTGCTCCTCCTCCTCCTCCGTCGGCGGCCTGCAAGTCTCCGTCCTGGGACACGAGGATGTAGTCGTCCCAGTTCTTACCCTCGGAGCCGAGGGAAGATGCCACCTGCACATGAGACATGTGAGGGTCGTCAATGGGACACGTCTTTGATTCTGCCCTCTTATCTTAAATTATTTATCCTGTTTAATCTAGTGCAGTCTGAGTCAGTGGTAGAACAAGGTGTATACATAAACCAAGGCTGTATAACCACTGTCTGCTGCTTGTTTGGCCCTAAAGCTTAATGTATTCAAATGCAACAAAACTCAGGCTCCGGGGAACATGTGACTAAGTCTTTTCATTATACAGTTGCTGTATTATGCAGCATCATTCTGGGTTTGATTCATTCCTAATGGGACAGCTTTAGGGTCACATGGCCTAATCCTGCAAAGAATAAAACTCTGGCACAAACACGGCATCATTTTTGCACACAGGGTACAATTTGTTGGCATGGAAATGATCGGATTTAAAGACACCGGATACAGGATGAAAAGACCAAACAATTACACCAAACAACTGAAAACTAATCCCGTCTGAACTGAATGTTTTAGTTAATACCAATACAGGTGCTGCCGGTAGGGATCTTTAATTCCAGCAGCCTAAAAGAGGACTGATTAATTAACCTGTTGCTCAGGTGGGGTCATTGGCTGCTGCTCCTCCTCCTCCTCTTCTTTCTCATCCATGCTCACGCTCCCGTCCAGATCAGAGTCCCGGCTCCGCCCATTGCCTCCTTGCTGTTGGTGGTCACTGTGGTGAATGATGGCGCCCAGAGCAGATTCAGCAGCTGCTGTGGAGGTGTAGTGATCGTCAGCGATGGTGATCTCTTCGTTCTCCTCGGCCTCTAGCAGGCTTTGGTTGAAGCGCAGCGCCCCCTTGAGGATGTCTTTGATCTGGCAGGATTTGGAGCAACACATCAGTGTTACGGAAACAAACAAACAGAAGAAGCACGTGTAGAAACATATGAAGAACATTAATGTGCACTCAGCATGCATGCTCAGACTCACCTGTTTGAGTCCAGCGAGTGACACCAGGACCTCATCCTCTTTCTCCAGGTGTTCCTGGAGAATCACTTCCTGGATTTTACCTGTGGAGACATGATAAACAGTCACTCACTGAGCTACACAACAAGCCTCATACTTCCCTTATCAGCTGAATGAATAAATGCAATAAATTAGAACCACGTGCTATTTATTTTATGTAAGTGTTTAAAATGGTATGCATCTTGTGGTAATTAGAATTTCCACAATCGAGTAAAAAAAAGCATGTGCACTCATTTCTTGCTTAAAACAACAACAACAACAACAATGTGCTTGACAAACATGGATAAAAACACAATCAGACAAATTAATTGCAAAAACGTCTATGAAAAGACAAAATAAAATGATAACAGCGGTGAAATGCTCAGAAATGAAACAATGAATAAATAGCTTTGATTTGTGCTTAGTATTTGAGCTGACTGATGTTTTAGATGCTGAAAATGAATATGGAGATTTGACCATCTGTTGCTGCTGTACTCACAGATGTGATTGTTCATCATCTTGGCACAGTATTTGCTCATGGCCTCCAGGTCGTTAATCTGACCCTGCAGGAACGATACCTGGGCTTCCAGGTCCTCCTCCTGCTGATAACACACACATGAACACACACATGAACACACACATGAACACACACATGAACACACACATACACATACACATACATACACACACATACAGACGTCAGAAGGAGACAATGTAAGTGGAAGGGAATAAAAAGGAGCTTGGTAACAGAATGAAAAGGGCACCAAAAAGCCCATAAGGGAGGGATTAGGGTTGAAGTGTGAGACAAGATGAAAAAGTGAGACAAACAGAGTAAGACAGAGACAAAGGCATGTAGACAGCCCAAAAAAAAAAAAGAAAGAAAGAAAGGTTACAAGAACAGCAGGTCAAACATCTCACCATCTCTTTCTTGCCCATGGTCTTGCTGTGGGAACGAGAGCGAGTGATGTTGAAGAAAGACTCCTTCTTGGTGGCGGAGAGGGGTGGAGATGAAGTGCTGACATCACTTCCTCTGGAGGGGGGGAGAGGCGGGGAGGCGGTGGACTGACCCCGCCCACCAGTGAGGCTTTCTATGCTGGGAGAGGAGCTGACGGTCCTGGAGCTTTGGCCTGAGAAAGGAAGAGAAAGAGGGAGGGGCGGAGGTCAGAAGACAATCTTAAGCAGTACGATACGGTTGGAAAAGCACATAAGCTTCTGAGAATGGACGTTCATTGCTGACCTCGGAATCAATAATTTAAACTCAGCGTCCACCTACTAGCCTTTGCAGTCCTTCACTGGTGAAAATCACGAGATGCGGTTAAAAACTTGAAAAGAGTTAGTAAGAGGTCACAAAATACTGCTGTTTAGTAAGGTCAAAAGAAAAGGCAAAATGCTATAAATGTCTATATATCTAAAGAAATGGCTACATTATTATAATATCTAATATCTAAATTAAGGGGTAGAAAGGTACAACAAGAATATGAAGCCTTGAAGGTACAATTGGAATAATTATAGAATTTTAAATTAGAATTTAGAAACTGTTAAATATAAAAAAAGAAAGTATAAATTGATTTATTAAATTTGCATTTAATTTATACATTAATAAACAAATAAAGTTAAAAAGTTATTTCAATTTGCCACTTATTAACTATGTCCTTATTCTGTCTTTACATGATGAATTAAAAACAAAATTTTAAAATGGAATAGCAAAATTAATTGAACTTTTTCAACTTAGTTAATGTAAATCAATTCACTTACTGTCTGTGTCTGTCTATCCGTCAGACATTCTTTTGCGTCTCCTGCTTTTTGCATTTACATTTTCTGGTTTGTGATCGCTTTCTTTAATTTAAAGATGTGTAAGCAGCATGACACCTAAAAATGAAATGAGGTTCAACAGACAGAGCTGTAGCAGGAGCTTTTGATTGGCCAGCTGTTTTAGGAGTCAGACCAATCAGAGCTCCTGCTGCTGCCGCTCTGTGAATGGTGTTCATTAATGTATCATTAAAATGCAAATTTAATAAATCAATTTAGAATTGCTTTTTAAATTGATTAATTTATGAATTGATTATAATTAAAAACTGCAAATAGATTAGAATTATTCCAGGCTCCACAGAAAGAAGTACATTGCATATTTCTTTGCCCTTACAAACACAAGACACACAACAACAAAAATAGCAGCTGCTGTCACTAAGCAACAAAGCACACACACGTAACAACCTCTTGAGCACATGTTTAAAGCCTTGCTGACAGCAGATGCCACAACACATCCATGATGTTCATGCTGTTAGTTTAATTTCCACTGATGTGGCAAGTTGTAATCTCCCTCTGCTGGTCAACAAGTGCTATTACATGCTCTGGTAACATGTACCTAACTAGCAGCAGGAACAGATGACCAAGCAGTGAATGACAAACTTTGTGTGCAGATATTGCAATGTCAGTGACGCAAGCAAGGAAAAATGGGGGGGGGGGGGGGGCACACAAGCGGTTGCCATGGTAGCAGTTACCTTGTGTGTCAGTATGAATCTGGGTTGGGAGAGAGACCTGAGACACTCCACCTGAAACTACATCTAACACACAGGAGAGTCAAAGCTGATGCTGCCACACCCACACAAACTAGATAATCTGTACTGGTGTTAATCTGTACATGCAGCTAATTTGCCAGTTACACAACAGCCAAATGCACAAATTAATTGTTGGTATGGTGGTCTGTGGTGGAGCAAATCTGGATATTTGTGTGCGTCCCACCGCTTACCTTTGCTGAGGTGGACAGGCATGCTCTCGGACTTAAGCAGACGGTAATGCTGAGTCTGGGCGTGGCTCTGGGTCTGTGGTGGGGCGAGGCCTGACGGCGGTTCAGTCAGCGGGTGAGCGAGGGCGGGCGCAGGCGCTGAAGCGGGGGAGGTTGACGAGGAGGAGGAAGTGGAGGAGTGAACCTCGCTGTTGATTGGCGAGACGCCGCTGGAGCCGCTGGAAATGGCTGGAGCGATGAGCTTCCTGCCGAAGCTCAGCAGGCTGCTGGAGACCTTGTTGATGTTGAGGGGGGCTGTTTTTGTACTGGGACCAGAGCTAGAATGACAAAAGGTATGTTGAGGTGAATACGGACAAACCTATCAACAGAATAATAGCTGTGGTTTTGCACATTTTAGACTTTTATCTATGAATAGTGAATACCTTTTACTGCCAACATTTCTCCAACATTTTAAGTGTTTAGTGTTTCCTATTTTCCAAGCAGCCAGCAGTTTCCATTTTGTTTCTGTACAGAGTGAAGCTCAACTTACATGAATAGTTTTCATCAGAGTGACCGATTCAAAATTATAAGCAGGGACCATTATTGT